TATTACTAAAGCGATTTATCCTCCTCAGACTCCCTTTATTCTACCTAATAATACTGGTATTACCTTAACTGCCTTTCAAAAATTTATTGATGATAACGTGGCAGCTATTAGTATTGCAGAAATTAATAAATTGATTTCTCAAAACAATTATTTGGGTTTATATGTAAAAAATTTAGGAGAACATATTGGTTCTCTTGATGAAAAACTTGATAATTTGACTATTTTAATAAAGGAAATGAGTACTAAGAAAGGACCAACTGATATTGCCTCCACTTCAGGAAGTAAAACAGTTGATGTATGTATATATGTATATATATGTATGTATATATGTATATATATGTATGTATATATATATATATATATATTATGTAATAAGAAGTGAGTTTTCCCCAGTAACGTGTTCTTTATCCTGTCTAGCTACCAATCAAAACTACAACTACTTTGCCCATGGCTTCATTCAGCATACAAAGTTACCTCAAAGAAGAGAGGTTTAGCAACTCCAAACTGTAGTTGGGATAGTCTATCCCCAGTTGACATGCATGTCAAAACTTTTGGATTTTGTTAGCTCTCTAGCCATAGCATAGGTTCATTGTAACAGAGCTAACAAACTCACCCCTTTGGTACTTTTCGGATCTCATGCATCTTCTTGATGCCATTTATAATACTTCTTACGGTAGATTTTGAGAAGAAGAAAAGGCTTCTTGTATTTCTGCGTATATTTACGTCCCATGAGCAAGGGAATTTATACAAAGCTCCTAATGCTAATTAAGGAAATAAAATAAATCTATAAAATCAATCCAGCTATCAAATCAAATAAAATCATAATAAAACCAGATCTCCTAAATATAATCAAAACTCCTGAAATCATGCTAATCAATACTCCTAAATCAAGTTTTCTTGAATCATGCTAATCAACACTTACTTCAACCAAAGAGAGAGAGAGAGCGGGCNGAAGCACTTCCACAAGTGACTAGTATTTTGAGAACTATTCTCCACTTAGACCCAATCTTTTTTTTAAAAAAAAATCATCTCGACATTTCTGAGAGAAGAAAGCAACACCAGTCTAGAGACCGAAGAGAGGTCGCTCGGGTTGGAGAGAAAAGGGGAAAAAGAAAAGGAATCTTACTGTTTCTTTAGCAGCAGCCATAGCAAGAAAACCAGCACCCATGTCCACCTCCTGCAAGCCAACAACAATGATGCCAACATCTGCTGCTGCAGAACCTAGCCATGATATAAGTGAATCGGGAGAAGCTCTTCCTTGTCCAACATTCCATGTACCAGCCAATATTTTTAAATTCTCGAGCCTGGTATACAAAAATTCCTTGCTAGCTAACTCTGAGCGCAAAATACCATCCACTGGTGCAGGAGATATCACACTCCAACCGCGTATACCACCATGATTAGCCAAAGTGAAAACATAACCTCCACCCACCGACAAATCTATTACAGGACAACTATGAGCCATCCATCCTCCAAGTAGATTACCACTAAGATCCAACACCTGAATATAACCACTAGCATAACCCACCCAAATTCGTAACCCATATGTGCATAAGCATTGAACAGAGAATGCGTGATACTGGATTTCTTGCAACCGATTGCCGTTTATATCCCATTGGACAAGTAATCCATTTGCACATCCACTCCAAATCATTCCATCAGCCGTAATGATCAATGCTTCAGTTCTCCGATTCTCTTCTCCAAATCCTCCTTTTGTCGCAACCCTACGAACAGCATCCGCTGCTCCCAAGATAGCATTGCGTGAACGCTGAAAGAAGCTGATAGAACTTTGAGACTTGTCCTTTTTCGAACTGGACACTATTTTCATCCTCATTTCATCTTCAATTACAGGATCTTGTGCTGCTAGTGTATTTTCAACCTGACCATCTGTGTTAAAAGTTTTCAGTAACTCTCTCGTCCGCGCATCCCTGAAAGTCAAAAGCAATTTGACAAGAAACAATCAACATAATCGGAACCAGATGACCTGAATAGTTAGATTTCATTTCGAAACAATCAGAATTTATTTTTTTTGTTAAGGTAAATAATTTTATTAACAATTGGGGACTAACCCTGTATACAAGCCGTATACCAAAAAAAAGAAAACCTGCACCAAAATATAATTCTCAACAAAAGAGATCCAGTCCTTTATACAAACTAACATAGGTGATCCTTCCGCTGTCAAAATCGCTCCCCTCGCCGCCAACCACACAAAGAAACACACCTTTCTTGGTGCTCTGGGAATCCAAATAGAGTAATGAGGGAAAACTTGTTCCTCTCTCACTAGTAAACCTCTTATAATAAGATTTAACCGTGAATAATCAATTTTTACTCTCAATACATCCGATACATTATTCGGTGTATCCAACCCATACAATAACTCAACTAGATTGTGAAATTCTTCCATCTCCCAATCTTGTAGGTTCCTCCTAAATCTCAAATCCCAATGAAGCACTCCTCCATGGGACCTACAAATTTGTTCGACCGTCGTCTCTCTATGGCAAGATACTCTATATAAGTTAGGGAAAGCTTCCCTCAACTCGTTCTCCCCGTACCACTAATGCATCCAAAAATTAATCCAGCTTCCGTCCCCAACCCTAAAGGAAATATGTCCACTAAACATTTCCCACCCCTTCATAATACTCCTCCATAAGCCACACCCAAACGGTACTCTAATGTTTCTAGTCCTCCGCCCCCNTACTCTAATGTTTCTAGTCCTCCACCCCCCCTTCCATAATACCATATTTTTCTGCTACATCCCCCTCCAAAATGCACTCTCCTCCACCCCAAATCTCCATATCCACTTCCCTAGCAAAGCTTTGTTGAAGACTTTGAGATCTTTCACCCCGAGACCTCCCCATTCCTTTGGAGATGTGACAACTCTGTTGTTCACTAAATGATACTTTCTTGCAACAGTTAAAAGCCTTAGGGATGTGCAAATATAATCTAATATATGCATCACAACTTTAAATATAAAAAACACAAGAACCAAGGAAACAATATGGCGGAAGTTCAAGACTACCACATCCATTCTTCAATCAAAAACATGTCTGTACTGATGATGACTGAGCACTTATAGAATTTTAACTGTGGTTTAACATAACATTATTATGCTTGTTCATTGTAACATTAACATCACGTTATTATGCTTGTTCATTGTAACATTAAGCTTCAAAAATAAAATTGTAGCAACAATGCAAAAACTAGCAAGCTACAAGACAATATAAATGAAGACATTTGTTTGTAAAATGATTCTGAAGGTACTCACCAAAGTGCAAATGACACATAACCAGTCGTCCAAATTTTTGCTCCAGAGTGATCAGAGATCATATATTTGACATCGACAGAAAATATGCTATTGCATGTGCCATTTTGTATAACTTGGCTCTTCAGATCCACGTATGACCTCTCTATAGACAAAGCAGCCATGTGCCTTTCCTCTTCTATCAGAGCAAGCGATTTCTCAATTCCTTCCCACGGCCAGATCTTGATGGAACCACCCTCAGAACCAGACCATAGATCGCCTAAATGAAATTGCTCATCAGATCAGAATTAAGCACACTCACTTGAGATACTCCCACTAACATTTGCCTTTTCGTTTATAGTAAAACTGGCATTTTATCAGTCCAGTTTTAATGTAACTAATTTTACTCATCAAAAGAAACTAGAAACCAAGAAAGCCACTTTGGATATCGATGCATCACAGTGCAAGTCAAGAATGACACAGAGATCCATCCAAATGATATTTCTGGTTGCAGAATAAAGGCAGCAATCTCAGAGCTACTTTTTTTTTCTTTCAAGCGGCAATTTCAGAGTTGGTTGTAAGAAACTTTCAACAAATAAAAATCCATCATGATAGCAAGTCTTGGCCAATCATCCCCTCATGAGCTACCTTTTGGGGTTGAGTTAGGCCTGAAGTTCATTTATTCTATAAGGGCACTATCAATTAGTTAAGAAAACGTTTTAGTTATGTAAGTGCGTTAATTTTGATAATTGTGGCATCCGGGCCAGCTTGCATGCACCTCGACTAATTCTACAGGATCCATGCTATATCCCACCGGCAACAGATACCAGGTAACTCTATCCACTAAGGCTTGGGCAAATAGGAAGAAATCCCCTAGTGCTTTTACCTCCGCTGGGATTTGAACCTGAAATCTCGTGATTCTTGCCCACTCACTGACCACTACCCGACATCATTGGGTGCTTAGTACGTTTACTTTAGGTCCTATATTTTCTAAGAGTTTTTTTAGTCCTAGTATAGATAATTAAAAATATTAGAGAACTTTTAGTCTTTTTTTTATTGTAATTTTGCACTATGTTGGCCTGAGATGAACTTAATTGGACAAACGTGGACAGAACTTGTTTGGAATTGTAGCATAGTTTTCGCTTATCTAACTGATATCCAAACTGGGTTTGACCTCCAAAAATAGTGGAATTGTGTTTCTGTTCTTTCTGCACCAAGAAAGAAAAGACGTGTGGTTTTTTCATCCTAGCTTGCGTAACCGACTGTCTATTTACTACATCATAGAAGAAAATGAACACAATGATTTTAATACTAGCTTATATAAGATGATCGAGCAAATTCAAAGGCTTACATTAGTAAATTTAGTTTTTAAAGTGCTAAATTGCAATATAGTAAGTCAAAAAACTACTCCCTAGTCCCTCTATCTCAATTTGTATGACATACTTTCCTTTTCAGTATGTCCCACAAAGAATGCCATACTTATTTAGAAAAAACATAACTTTATCATTTCCCCTTATGAGATGATATATAGCAACACAAACGTCTACGGTTTTTTGTCAGTTTTTTCTTAAATATAAGACATATACTACCAAACACACATTTCGGACCACATTTTCAACGTAACACTATCAAATCAATTGCCCTTTGAGAAATCTATTATTTACCAAATATATTGATGATAATTGAATCAAATAGTGATGAATAATTTAAGGACTCAATTAAAAAGTATTATTTTTAACATGAAATAGATTCTTACACTTAACAAAAGAAAACTACCAATTAAACTAGAATGTAAAGATAAAGAACTGTACGAAAACTGCAAACGATTAATATTTACTATAAATTTTTTAAAACTTTGTATAAAAGTATACATATATACAGGTGTTATAATAAATTTAAAATAGCTACTCCTATATTCGGGGTTGGTTCGGTTTTTTTAATTAAAACCAAAACCAAACCAAATTTGATCGGTTTTTAAATTTCAAAACCAAAACCAAACTAAACCAAAAAGTATCGGTTTTTTTGGTTGGTTTGGTTTGGTTTTCGGTTTAGTTCGGATTTTCGGATTTTTATGAACACCCCTAGATGCAATTACACAGAAAAGGTATTACGAAAGACTCAAACTTTACCATAGGAAGTCATGATCATGGAAAGAACTGGACCGCGATGAGCCTGCCACGTCAGCACTTCTTTCAAAGCAGCTCTTCCACAAGCAGCACCTTTCTCTCTACTGCTAATTTCACTGTCCATTTTCCAACACCTGATTTTACCATCTTTGTGTCCACTCCACATCAACCTATTCCCAGCATCTTCAACAAGGCAAAATGTTGGGGAAACGCTAACAGACTCCACAAAAGGTGCAGCATCCTCGAAGTCCTCATCTTCATCTTCTTCTTCTTCAGCAGCAGCCTCATATATATCCGACAAATTCCATACCCGAACTCCACGCTCCGACCCGGCCCATAGCTGAGATCCATTACACAGTACAGTCCGCAAAAATCGCCCGATTTGCCTTTCTCTCAACGGATGCGGCCGTAATTCCAATGACGGCGGCCGATCAGGATGCACTGCGGCACGCACCGGCAACTTGAAAATGCCGGTACCGCCACCTTTACCTACAAACTCAGGTAAGCCCTGTGACTGGCTCTTGCCGTTAGTATTACCGTCAGAAGTAGCAGCTGTTTCCGAAGAAAGCTTACGGTCGAGGAATTGAATCATATAATCAAGTCGTTTACGAACGGCGCCATTTTGACCTGAACCGGAGCTGAAATCTTCGTCATCGGAAGATGAAGTGCCGTAGAATCGGTCAAATAATCTTGGAGTTCGCTCCGTCTCGTCTAAGCTAAATTTACGGCCGGAACCGCCGAGTGTATTGACATTTTCGCCGTCGTCGGAATCGGAATCGGAGTTGAAAGCGAATTTTTCACTGTAACAGTGGAAATTCCGACGACTGGAGGTATTGGAAGTAGAAGCTAAAAGGTCGCCGTCTTCATCGTCGATTCGAGAAGATTCCATTTGGTGTTTGTGGGTATGATAATGGAGAAAATCTAGAGAATTTTGGGGGTTTTGACATAACAGCGAAGATAGTGGGGTTCATTACAAGAGAAAGACGTTGAATTTCTGTTAATTCTTTTTCTTTTTTGTTTTTATTATATTCTCTTTATTTATTTATTTGTTCTTTTAATCGCACTTAATTTCTACATTATAAAGTGACTAAAAAGCCAATCAAGTATTGTAAACTATGAATATGAATGAGCATTTTGAAGAAAAGATAAGTATATGTATTCCCTCTTAAAGTGTCATTATATATTTAAAACTAATTTAATATTAAATTTTATATTTATTCTGTATATTTTTATAATGTCAGTAATTTCATGATATATTTAAAAATACAAGTCTTAAAATGTGTTGAGTCAAATTACGGCACATAAAAAAAGAATCACATATTAGACTTGTCACTGGCAATTGAATTGGAAAAAAATTATTTATTACGTAATGATATAAATAGTTTTACATAATCAAGTTATTCAAAAATAAATTACAAATAACTATCAACATTAAACATAATTAGTTACTCCTATATGAGAAAAAATAAGTTGGATAATATGTTAGAATCGGGTCAAATTAATGTTAACATGTCAAAAGTGGAAAATAAAGTGAATATCAGATGAAATATTATAGGTAAATGGATAATTTGAAATACTCCTTAAAAATCTTTTTATTTTTATTTATTTATTTATTATTGACTATTGAGTAACGGGACGGAACGGGAAGTCGTTGTCATTAACGTACCCGCCAATGTTAACTAACTGGGCATCATAGGACACCTGTCCGCTAATCCGACAGGATATGATTATGATTTGGCCATTTTCCATGTAAATTCTTCTGTACAGAGTTGCCTTTTGTTTTCTTTCTGGAAATATCTTTGGAATTGGATTTTAAAAAATATAGGCTAGTGCATAATTCATTTTAATTTAATTGAAATTCCTATAGATAGTAAAGCTTAAATTCTTGGATCAGTATTTGGTACCATTAAGCGGTAGTCCAAACCATGCAAAATATGTTTTTCTCGTTCCTAATACTACTATAACTTCTTTCTTCCTTTACAAGACTAATGCTATTATAACTTTATAATCAAAATATACGTTTTATTTTATTATTTAAATAGAGGAATATAATTGATTTAAGGAAAATGTTTCAGGTGAATTTTTAATTTGCTATTCAGATGGAAATACATATGGGGAGAGATGTATAGGGGCGGATTTATAGGTAGATTACGAGGCACGTGAACCGTGGGTTTTTTGCCAAAGTAGGTATTTTATATATGTATTTTTCTAAAATTGATCTAATATTATTTATCGGCACTCATGCTACACAAAGGCTGAATGATGAACTTGGTTGAACACTGAGTTACTAACCCGAAGGAACAAGGATCAATTAATTCCCACTTATTTTTTAGTGGTCTAGAAATCCTAAATCCGCCTCTAGAGATATACCTAACGAATTAGTGAGTATTTAGGTTGATCAAAATAGTATTTGATTTACATCGTTATCTCTCTTCATCTACAATATACTCCACTAATATAAAAGTATTAGGGGTGTACATTAGGTTGGGTTGAGAATGTATAAAACTCGGGTTTTTCACTTTCGGTTTTTCTCGGATTTTTTTGGGTTTTGGGGTTATTCGGGTTTTTCAGGTAAAATCTTCGTAGAACAAAACATATAACTTGTGCTCAAAATATCTCTTTAATCCTAGTAAGATACAACTATATAAAGTATTTTTCAAGAAAATAATACAAAATATGAGATGTGTCATGGCATTATCCTAAAATATTCAACAATAAAGATAATAAAATTATGTAATATAAATATTTCTAATTAAAAAGCCATAATAAAATAAATATAATCTAAAAGTACTAAGTCATGCTAAAATAAGTAGACTAATAAGGGAGTATTACTATTAATTACATGACTAAATGCTAAAGAAAAAATAAAAATACGTTATGCATTTTTATCTAAATTATTGCAAAACAAAAAATAGATATTCAATACATTCTCGTTCGTAGTATTGAATTGAATGTCTTTTGTTAGCATTAGTATTAATTTGATTTTGGTTTGGGCTTTTGTTGGCATTATTTAATTTACTAATGTTAAAGGCTATAAAACTTATTGGAATATTCAAAAGTTCTAAGTTTAACCTTGAAATAATACCTTAAAAGATGAAATTATGAAATTTTTTAAGAAATATTTATAAATTACATCACAATAAGTATATTTATATATTAAATATATCTAAAAAATTTATATATGTAATGTCGGGTTGGTTTGATTTCGATTTGACTTTCTTTAGTTAAAACCAAACCAAATCAATTATGGTCGGATTTTTTTTCCAATACCAAACTAAATTAAACTAAACCATAATCGGATTTTTTTCTTGATTTGACTCGAATTATCGGATTGATACGGTTTATCGATTTCTTTTGTACACCCCTGAAAAGTATGAACTTGCTTGATAATATAGAACACGTGCTATTTTGAAACAAGTACTACTCCTATAACTTATTAAGTACTTAGAGAAGTTGATAATTTGGTAATCACCTAAGCTCTACAATTGAAGAAATTCTATTTTTGAAAGAACGATTCTCCTCCTCCTCCTTTTTTTTTAATTATATTTAAGGCGAAATACATAAACAGCAATGACCAAAGAGACACCTCTTCTCGGCTAAAATGTGTCTCATGAACCCCTCACGATGATATGGCAAAGTGTGTGCTTTTTTTATTCAGTGTCTTGGCGCGTGAAACCCTCAAAATTATGTTTTTCTCTTTTTTCTTTTTAAATTAACCTTATTTTATAATGACCCCACTTACCTTCATCTCCATACTTCCTTCTTCTTCAAGTTTCACCATTGATGAAAAGCAAGAACAATTAAAAAGTTTCTTCCAAATTACAACAAATGAAAAAACCATAAAATAAGCACACAATTTCGTCCAATATATACTGTCACAATTGCTTATACAATCAATCACAAGTATTACCATAATAATTAAATGGATAAATTAAATTTCACATCATTAAGTTAGAAGAATCATGTCTGAGATGAAATTTACCACCATAAACTTTATGACTGAACTTTACCACCATAACATCAGTCGCCGCCACCAACAAAGACATCACCTCAGGCGACAAAGATGTTTGAGGCTCCTACACGGCAAAAATTAAGACCAAGATCCAATAATTTCTTTTACGGATCTTTACTACTTGCGGTTTTCAAGAGAAATTTTTTTTAAGAAAGAAATAAATGAAGGGCGAAAGGTAGCAGTCGACAACCGAAAAACTTTTGATATAATCATTCTTCTTTAAATTTGGAGTGGAATGGCTATGTCCTCATAGTTTGGCTAAGAGGTCAGATTTTGGGGAAAAAGAAGAAGGAAAGGAAGGAAAAGAATTGCAGCAATTTCTAGGAAAGCTTGAAAGAAGATGAAGAAGAAAAGGCATATGAAAGGTGCGATGGTCACAGGGGAAAGGTAGGGGAAAGATGCGATGATTTTCTACTTGGGGTTATACTTTTGGGAAGATCACAGTGAAAGGAGGTGTGGGGCGTAAGGAAGAAGAATAGGTTGGGCGGTTTGGAGGGGGGCGATGGTCTAGTTGGAAATAATGAAAAAGGTATTATTTTCTTATTAATTACACGTGTCAAATATTTTAATTATAAATTGCACTTGTCATTCTTTAATTGGTTTATTGACACATCACCGGCAAGTGTAACTCACGCATATGGTCTGCTCCACTCGAATGTTTACTTGATACACTTAATAGTCATTTGAAGTGTCTAAATGGTAAATGGTCAATTGAGGTGTCCATCAGACTGTTGAGGACAACTTGAAAGAATTGTTTATGTATTTCGCATATATTTAATGTTTGTGAATGTAAACTTAACTATGTATGGGTCCAAATTTAAACAACCACGACCGTTGATGAGTACGATAAACGACGAGATTCTCGTAGTTCGACATCCTGCAGAGAACAACCTTCATACGAACAAGAGATTGTACGACTCTTGCAGTAGTGCAGGCCCAATAGGGGACATTAGAAATATTCTTTCGAATATTCCCTATAACTTGTCTTTTAGAGCTTAGAAGGATTTTGTTCCTTATATATAGAGCGTAAAACAACCTTGTAAAGGCTCTGGGCATTTTTCCTAACCGATAACTCTTGTTGTAACACTTGCTTACAAAAACGATTGATAGGATTATTGTTTAAGGTTTTGTCTTGATGAGATAAAGAATTCTTATCATACGTATTCTCCTTGTTTATCTTTTGTTCTAGAGATTATTATACTTAGCTAAGATTTACCCCTTTATTTTCTTTGATTAATTTATTCAAAAAGGTTCTGATATCTTTGAATTCAAACAAATTAGTCGTCCATTATGCATAATATGAATTTAAGAATTAAAGAAAGGGTAAAAAGTTGTCACGATGAAGATGGAAGAAGCATGGAATTTTGCAGGATATTATAATTAATACATTATGAATTTTAGAATATGATATCCAGGTCAAACTCCATTTAATTCCCAATATAGGTAAGAGGTCGGTAATTTAAAGAATATTCTATACTGAAGAATCGTTGGCCTAAAAAATTTGTTTCGTGGACCGTGTATATTCAGACTCTTTATGTTTCAACAGGATCAATTTAAAGGAATAAATTAATTATTGTTATAAATATATTATATTATGGATGTTCATTTAGTACTCCGTTATAAATAAGCTTCCTGAATAAGCTTATTCATATGGGACTCCACCGTAAATATGTTTATCTATTTAGTACTATATTGGAAATAAGCTTCCTGAAGAAGCTTATCACTTCGGTACCCGGTTATGGATAAACATTACCCCCAGTATAAGTTTATCCATACCGGGTATAATAGGCTTATCTTTTCAGTACCCAGTTATGGATAAACATTACCCCCGGTAAAAGATTATCCATACCGGGTATAATAAGCTTATCCATTCAGTACTCCGTTATGGATAAATATTGCTCTCAGTAGAAGATTATCCATATCTGGTA